CAAGTTTTTTATCTTTTTCCTAATTTTATTGCTTATATGGATACAATAGTTTGTAGGTAAGCCAATGAAACCTGGCTGGTCCCTTTCTCATTACAAATGCCAAGTAGCCAAGGAATGCGACATTCAAAGTTGACAAAAGTTTCAAATCGCTATAGAATCTGAACGGTTTGGAGTTGCTAAAAAAATTGCAGAGCCACTCAGGGGGTCATCCTGAGTGGATTGACACCTACTTTGGCCAATTCCATCAGGGCAGGTTGCGGGAGGGGGGCGGGGTAGGGCGAGGGATAGTACGGGTACAGCTAGACATCCCAAGAGAGACGGAAAGACTGTTCGCCGGATTGGCTGCCTACCTTCACGGGGCGTCTCAGCCGATTCGCGCGCACAGGTTCAGTAAAATTGAGAATTCTTGTGTTTAGAGGCCGAAACCCAACTTTTTCTATATACCAATCGAAAGCTTACAAGGTAGGTTTACGCCAGACCGCATCTTGTCGTAACAGGCTTCGCGATATCTCGCTGCCTGTTCCTCCAATCCGCGGCTGGCGTACCTACCTTGGCCTGCGGCGCTAGCCCGCCTTCGGCAGGCAATGCTTGTCCACCGTCAGTTACTTCTAATTTCTTGCATACTGGGGGGCTCCGCCCCCCCAAAACCCCCCCTTTTTTCTAGATAGAGTTGCTTCATCTACAAATTACACGATCTTGACCCTTGTAACTTTTTAACTTGTCGGGGCTGGGGTCACCGCCCCCCCAGACCCCCCCTTCCATCAAGGCAGGCGAGATCTGCTTGCAGAAAACTCGATTTTTCGCCGTTTTTAGGGTGTTTTTCGGCTATAAAAACTGAACCAGTTGAGCTAGGATAATGAAATTTCGCGTGTGCCGAGCCAAGAACATATTTAATGAGCCTGCAAAATCTCAGCAAGATCGGCCGAGCCGTTCAGGAGGAGTAGTGCGCACAGACACACACACACACACACACGCACACACGCAGACAGACAAAACTTTTCAACCCCACTGGAGTAACGGGCTTCGCTATCGCTCAGCCAATAAAATTTTGAGTAAGTGAGTACACATTTGACAAGTTAAAATGCTGCCGTTTGCTTATTTTCTTTATTGGAAAAACTTGTATTGCAAATTTTGAGTTTTAGCGGCATTTTTGCGAAGTTTGGCATCCACTTACCCGATCGGGCTCATATTGGTACCGTTGGATTCGTCTTAAAATTCCCTTTCGAATGGTATAAGCGGCATGTGTGTAGCTCATCACCCTGAGCTATGAAGCTCAAAAATGTGTAATTTGCTTAACTAAAATTTGAGTGCAGAGTTGTTTATTGCGGCCTACAGCTCCTAAGGGAGGGCCACACCCACTATTTTTGAAAACAGATATGGAAAGCCCATAAACTGAACTACAATTTAGCTTGGTCGGAAGTGCAGATTTGGATTTTCTACTAGGGTACGCAGGCTCGTGAAATATGGCTTCATTTTCATGTTTTTCGCAATTTACTCCACTGGTAATCACGCTAGACCAAATCTGAGGGCAGATTCGGATTCCTCATCGCATTTTACGTCAAAATAGCTTAACCGCATAAAAATCGGAAAAAAAATAGCCTTGTTGAGCCATTTGAAGAAATAACAAGATTTTTAAGAGAAAAAAAATTAAAACGCCGATTCTGACGAAACCACTTGAGATATCGACCTAAAAATTTGTGGGCATGTTCCTGACCACTAGGGCTACCTTCGTGCCAAATTTGGTCGAAATCGTCAAAGGTCACCCAGATCCGTGTGAATCTTATATGGAATGACCCAGCACCTTTTTTTCGTGTTCTTGTGATAGTAAAGCATGCATTTTTGTTCAAAATTCCGAAATTTTTCGGAGAAAGCCCAGAATTTGAATTTATGGAGAGCTCCATGCAGAAGTTTCGGAAAAACTCCATGATTTTTCCATTTTATTTCGGAATTTTCTGACAGTGTGAGTACAAGGAGGGAACTGAGCTAGAGTTCCCAAATTTGGAAGGCACTGTAAGAAGGGGGTCGACTGAAAAACATTTACAGTATTCTCCCGCAATAGGTCGACGGCTCGGGACCGGATCTCGGACTATAACGAACACGAAAACCGAAAGCACATGGTGCGAAGGCCGGGCTCCGGCAGTGCTCCGAGCTCAGGGGGCCATAAAACAATTAGCCGGCCCTTGGGTCCTACACTGGAGTGGCCCGAAACGCTGTGCCGACCGGCGCCTTGCGGGTCCACGCTACCTGGCCAGGTCGGCACTGCGGTTCGGGTCCCGTCAGCGCCGGGTTCGCGCGTTTCGACCTGGCGGCACGGAGGACCCCTGTCAATCCCCCGAGGCTCGAGCTCGCCGGGCCATAAACCCCCGTGCGTAAGCGGGGGCCGTCACATGAAAACGACTTATTGCGAATCGACCTAATGCGGGAGAATACTGTATTGCGGTTTTCGATAGGTCTTGCCAGGACGTTTTTAACAAGTGGTCAGAGGGTAGCCAAGCCGAGACACTGACCAGTAGTGGCGCTGCTTTTCACGTTTTGTCGTAGCCCCGGGGGTGGTGTCGGATAGGGTAAATGAATACACAAAGGGTTATGCGACAGTAAGTCCAACCCGGGGACACGCTGTATCTGACTGCCCCCAGTGGAGGGCCGTGGGCTGTTATATACCCCCTCGGCCTGAGATTTAGTGTAAACACGGCTGTGTAACACCAACAGATCCGCACTCTTAAAACCTTACGAAGTATTTTGAGCATTCATAAACAAACCAAAATACTTTGTTTACGAAGAAATAGTTCGTAAATAAAGAAGTATTTTTTTTGTAAGCTTATGTGTGCTTAAAATACTTTGTTATACAAACTACTTTTCTTTGTACGGCCCAAATTAGTTTGTAAGGTTTTTTCCGTGCGGCCGGGGTTGTCCTCGCGGACTACGTACCGGCGCGACACGCCCCTCCCCCCCGGGTTGAAAACCCTTTTGCCCCCGCCACCAACATTGTAACAATGATGCCATTCCAGAAAAAGTGTTGCTAAAGGTTTCCTTTTGTTAATTCATTTGGAATCTTCGCACAAAATGAACAATCTTCGTGAGAGGAATGTTCGTGGTTTTTCGCAGAATCTTTGAGAATCACCGAAAACCTCTGAACAATACCCATCAAGACTAACAAGAACCCTGAATTTACGCAGGTTTTTTTCAACATTTTTGCCAGATGTACCTGTATTAATTCCGGAAATGAACTTTCACAGCGTAGGGCCCGTACATTGGAATCGTCCATAAAATCGACCCCTGTCCATCGGATGGAACCGTATCAGTGAAAATGCGCGTCAGCCATTTCAACCCCTCTAGGCCCTTTCGATCTTCCGACCTTTTCGGGAAACGTATCAACCAAAGAAGACATAAGAGACAAATTTTTGGGGGAAGTATGAAGTCGTCGGAGCCTTTGCTTGGAATATGCAATGCGAACATGCACCCCCTTTGCATTCACGGAAAATTGAATGGTCGGGTACACAGTAAATGTCTTACGGTGAAAGGCTGCACCAACATAATATGGTGGCGATTTTCTCCATAATACCAACGAAATTTGTCAAATCTCTATAAGGTACAGTGAATTTCAATGGCATGTTACGAAGTCAGCTGCACCACCATAATATGGAACATTTTCACCATAATATGGAGAATCTTCACTGTAGAACATTTAGAGTGTACATGGCACACTCATGGCGTGACGAAAAGTCGCGCCAAAACTTGCCGTGACACGAAATTCACGTCAAACAACGGCATGACGTCTCACAATGCAATGAAAGGCTGCAATATTGAAAAAGTTTTTTATGTTCTTAAACCACTCAGCGATAGAAAGAATCAAAAAAAAGTTTTACAAGGTTTGGGGTAAAGAAGGTGCACTGTAGGAAAAAACAGGAAAAGTAGCGATATACATCGGCAACTTTGGCCCGTCCCCTACATTAAGAAATGTGTGAATTTCACCTGACGGGATTTGAAACTGATTTTCGTTTTTTTCGTCATCAGCACCTCAAAAAAATCAGAAACAAAGCAAACCTCAATAAAAAAAATGTTCTAAATATTGTAGTGAAGTCACATTGCACGGTTTGAACGCCCGCGCGTTAGCCGCGCGGCGCGAGTACCCGTAGCAACGACGTCACCGCCGCCCCAGCCGAGCCGTTGGCGAGGCCCCGGGCCCAGGCCGCGCGGGGCCGAGCCGTGGCGAGCCGCGCCGCCCCCCGCCGCCCGCCGAAGCCGTGCGCGTCGCGCCGCCGCGCCATTCGCCGTGAGACCGAGCTTGTGCGAACATCTCCGTGTCGCTCTCGAGCGTGTTGTGTTTCCCTTTTGTCCAGAATAAATACTTCTTGAACCAAATACCTTGTCTCTCTCGCCTCCCGCGCTACTATACAACATTTGGGGGCAGCGGTGGGAGAGGAAAAGAGAGAAAAGGGAAAAGGGTTTGGGCCCGGGTTTGTCCCGCGGCTAACCTGACCAAGCGTGTTGCTAGGCGCGGGGGGTCCGTTCCCGCCACAGCCAGCCAAGGGACGCTAACGGTTTTTCGGCGCTACCAGCTTTCTTTGTGGGATTTTTGGCTCTGCGTCAAGGTTTGTGAGGTTTGTGAAGTTTTAGTCTAGTGCCTGTGGGTTTCTGACGCTCGGACGGTGTCTCGTCGGTCCGCAAGGACTGGCTGAGTGTTCGCGAACGGGCTGAGGTACCTACACCGGCTTCTCCCAGGGCATTGAGTTTCGGTTCGGTCAGTCCGACGCTGCGACTCGGTTCCCTGTGAGATCCAGAGGCGCTGGCTGGACGCGTCTTGGCGCTCACTAGCCTTGACAATGGCCGGCGATCGGAGTCGAACCGGTCACAGAGCCGTTCCCGCCGCTCTGACGCTGAGCCGCCCGCCGATTTGGCGCGCTCGGAGGCGTCCGTCGCCCCGCCGTTGCCTACAATCGGAGAGGAGAGTGCTAATGCCGGGCCGTCTGGAATGGCACCGCCGCCTAGGTTCTCCGAACTTTTCGACTTTGGAGGTTCGGGCCTTGGCTCATCGGCGCCCACCTTCTCGTTCGGCTCTTCGAGACCAGTGACTAGCATGGTGACTCGCTCGGGCTCTGGCTGCATTGCAAGCACGGGCTACCTAGGTGCAGGCTCGGGTTTGTTCCCGGCGCCAAGGATAGGCTCTGGCTTGCTCGCACCGCCCCTGGGGCGCGGCCCTGTGACGTCATCAGTGACAACAGCCGCCCTGTCCGCTGCAGTAGCCGCTGCTACCGCCGCAACCAATACTTCTCGGAGCAGACGGTCTCGCTCGCGCTCCCAAGCCGCGCCTGCGGCGACTGGAAGAGCGGCCAGCACTCGCGCGCGGCCGCGTACACCATCGGCGAGTCGCTCCCGATCCCCAGCGAGTGCCCCACGCCGCAGCAGGTCGCGGTCTGTCCGCGGACCCGCTCGCTCGGACAGGGCGTCCCACAGCCGTGCGCGGTCTGTCCGCCGGGAAAGGACGCGGTCCAGGTCGTACCGCCGCTCTAAGGAGTCGCACGGCCCGGCGCTCCCACACTCGTGAGCGGTCCCGGAGCCGCACAGCCCGGCGGTCCCTGTCCAGGAGGCGCTCTAGGAGCCGCACAGCTCGACGCTCCTACACTCGAGAGCGCTCCCAGACCCGCTCGAGGAGCCGCTCGCACTGGCGGTCGCAGACTCGCGGTCGCTCCAGGAGCCAGTCCCGCCGCCGCTCGCGTTCCAGGGGGCATGGACGCCAGCGCGCGCGCTCCCCCTCCAGGGACCAGACCGGGTACAACCCCATGGACGCCGTCCAGATGTTGGCGCGGGCACTGTCAAACCGCTCCCATAAGCGGTTCCAGGCGTACAACGGGGCCACTGACTACAACCTGTACCGGTTCAGGTTCCTGGAGTACGCCAGGCAATGCGGCTGGGACGAGCGCCGCCAAGGGGTGGAGCTCTCCCTGCCCTCCAGGGCGACGCGGAGGCGGTGCTCAAACACCTCTCGGACGCGGACCGCACCAACTTCACGGTCCTTGACAGCGCTCTGAAGCTGCGCTTCGCCTCCTGCGCCAATCTCATTGACGCGGAGAAGCGGTACAGCCAGCTCAAGCAAAAACCGGGGCAGAGCTTGCGTCAGTTCGCAGCCGACGTCTCGGACGCCGTGATGGAGGTACATCCGGACCTACCAAATGACGCTAGGCAGCAGCTGCAGATCCGCGCCTTCGTCAGCGGGCTGCATGATTCCACTACCAAGCGGTTTGTCCGCAGGAAGCGGGAGTCCTACACCACGCTGGCGTCAGCGCTGCAGCAGGCTGAGCGGGAACAGGCAGCCGATGAACGCTCTGGATCTCCAAAACGTGTGCGCCAAGCAAGCGTCTCGCCTAGCCGCGGCAAGCTCGACGAGCTTGTCCGCTCCGTCAATGCAGGGCATAAGGTTCTAGCCGATTTAAAGAGCCAGCTGGAGGATCGCAAGCCCGGTCCGTCCCGGCGCGACATGTCAGCAGTAGATTGCTACCACTGCGGCGAGAGTGGTCACTACAAGAGAAACTGCCCCTACTTGCCCCCTCTGCCCACCTATAGTCGGTCCCAGCAAGCAGCCGGCTCTGCCGCCCAGGGTGTGCCCCAGGCGCAGCAGCAGCACTACCAGGCCCAGGGGCAGCAACAGTACTACCAGGCTCAGGCCCACGCCCAGCTCATGCAGGCCCTGCAGACCCTGCAGGCCCCACCCCCACCCCCGCCGTCAGTGCCCGCCGCCGCGCCCGGCAACCAGGGCCAAGCGGCCAGGGGCGGCCAGGGCAAAAACCGCAACCGGCGCTGGCGTCGAGATGACCAAGGCCAGGACGGCGGTCAAAACCAGCGCCCCGCTGCCCAGGGTGTGCCCCAGGCCCAGCAGGCACCAAGGCCCCAGCCCGCGCCGCGGAACGCCAACCCCTCAAAAAAACTAGACAAGGCCGCGCCCCCGCCGGCACCCTCGGCCTCCAGCACGCGGAGGGCCGCGGCCACCAATGTGCCCGACGACGACGAGCTCCCCGTCTCGGTGCCTTCTGTCGTAATTGATGTGTCTGTGAACGGCGTTGACACGGAGGCAGTCCTGGATGGGGGCTCCACAATCAACATTTTTAAGTTGGGTTTGCTTCCCGACTTAGACTTGAAACGTGCCCCTATGAAAATGAGACAGGCATCAACCAATAGCGACGCGCCCCTTTTCGGCCCCGTCAAAATCACCGTGCGCGTCGCCGACACCGATTTTCCAGTGTGGGCGTTCGGCGCCGACCTCAGTGAAAACTTCATACTGGGACAGAGCTTCATTGTCCCGTACGACGTGCGCCCAAACCCTGGCCCAGGCACAATTGGAATCCACCGTACCCCGACGGGGAAACCCGCCGCCGTGCCGTACCGATTCCAGGAAAGACCCAGTACAAGCAATTTCTCCATCGTCTGCGTGCTGCGCACCGCTGTGCAGGAAGAAATTAAACCTGGCAGCTGCATTGATGTGACCACCTTCATTCACGGCTCGTTGATTAGTGCCGTGCACTCCTCCGCGTGTGGGCAGGTCTCTGGTTCGGTCTGTCCCGACCGGGTCTGTACCGCTGGGAGCAAGGCACCCGCATGCCCCAAACCCGTGCCCACCCCCAGTGAAGGCGCTGCGCCCCCTGTGCACAAGGACGGCGCCGCGCTGGTGCCCGGCCCTCGCCCCGGCAAAAGGCGCTCGGAGCAAGGGCCGCCACCTGTACTAGACCCTGTCGCGGCCGCGTGCCCCGGCCACGCCCCAGCATGCGTGAAGGATTACACCTACGCTGCAAAGGTCCGGCGTACAGTCCGCATGGTCACCGGCACTGGTAACACCAGCTCCGATGGCTTTGCCGCCCCGCCCACGCCCTCGCACGCGTCGGCACGAAATTCAGCCTGTGGTTTGTTCCCAGGGCTGAATAAGGAATTCAGCCCTGTAGTCCGAGGATGTGCCGGAAGTTGTGAGAACAGGGGTGGAGTAGGGAGGAATTCCTGCTCACCGCCTGGGGTAGTCCCGGAAGTGCATGATTCCGAGGTAGTGGAGATTTCACAACGCCCGAGCAACAGAGGGGGAATGCCTGTTGAGTTGGTGCGCATGGCATGCCAGGTGTACCCCGACCCGGAGCCGAGCGAACTGGAGATCAAAAGTGTGATTGTTGCCTCCCCGCTGCACTCGGACTTGAACTCGGCTGTCCTCACGAAGTGCGCGCGCGTCCCGCTGGCCGCGGCGTACTCGGTACAGCTGTACAACAGCAGCGAGACCAGAATTCTCATCCCGCGGCACACCATCGTGGCCGAGGTCATCCTCACGCCCGACCCGTCCCGCACGCTCTTGGAAAATACCGGTCAGTCCGAATTTCCAGTGCGCACGGTGGGCCACGACCGCGGCGACAGCTATCCCTACACTGATGACGTCATCTGGACGCCCCCGCGTCGCGTCCTCGCCCCCGACTCGCCCCTGCCCGAGGCGCTGGCCGAGATGGTCGCGCGCGCGGACGGCATCACCGACAAAGAGAGACCCGAGTTGGAGGCGCTAGTGCGAGAGTTTTCCGACGTGTTCTCACTCGACGCGGAGGACGTGGGGCGCTGCACTTGGAAGATGTTTGAAATCCAGACAACGACAGAGACGCCGGTTCGAGTCCCGCCTCGGCCCATCCCCATTCACTGGAAAGACCAAGTCCTTGACATTTTCCACGGCTATCTGCGGACCGGAGTAATGCAGCGGTCTGATTCCCCGTACTCCAGTCCCATTGTGTGTGTGCGCAAGTCAGACGGCTCCCTGCGTGTGTGCGTGGATTACCGCCAATTGAACAAAATTACGGTCTTCCCTCAAGCTGTCATGCCACACGTTAACACTGTGCTGGAAAGCCTCGCTGGAAAATCCCTTTTCGGGAGCATTGACTTGCTGTGGGGATTCCACAACTGCGTGATCCACCCGAAGTCCCGCCACCTGACAGCAATTACAGTCAGCGGGATCGGCAACCTGGAGTGGGTTTGCATGCCGTTCGGTTTGTCCGGGGCGCCAAACCACCTCCAGGAGCTGCTCCAGATGGTCCTCAACCCGCTCGGCCTCACGCCCCTGCTGGACGACGTGGCCTACGGCGGCAAGGACTTTGCCGACACACTGCACTGTAACCTGGGAGGGGTCATTTTGTGACACCTTCGTGGTGTACCACCGTTTGCCACCCTACCTGAGTTTCACACCCATAATCGAGGGTGTGAAGTCTCATTCTGACCTTCAAAAGGTGCAAAAAAGGTGGCAAAAGAAGCTGTTTGGCATTATGTGGGTGCACACTTATGCACCCATTCAAGGGCGCATACACACCCCATAAGGTGTAAGAACTCTTCCTCTAGGGGTGTGATTTGTCTACCCAAGAGGGTGTCTTTTCCCACCACGAAGGGTGTAAAAAGAAAGATTTGTTTGTGGTGGAAGGAGGTCTCCGCCCACCGGGACTCCGCCTTCCGTCCTCACCTTCCATGCCTCAATGACCGAAAGCGCCGAAGCGCTGGCAGCCATGAGGAATCGAACCACGATCCTGTGGAATCGTAGCGCGGACGCTTACCCCGAGACTACAGGACTTTCTGAGGGACAGGCCGTGCCGCAACGCACACATTCTGAGCGCGCCGCCGCAGCTCCAGGGTGCCCCTCTGTGGGGGCAAGGGCACACCCTTACAGGGATACACTTTACACCCACTCCAGGCAACAACTTACACCTCATGGGGTGCGTATTCACTCAAAGAAAGTGGCAATCTCCATTCAGTCCCTTTACACCCCTGCACACCTTTCCGCGGATGGATATTACACCCCATCGCACCTCTAAAAAGTAAAAGAAACAGCACCCGTAGGAGGGCAAAACTTGGGGTGCGTAAGTGCACCAGGAAGGGTGTGAAGTCTTCTCCGGGCAGTGCGATCTCCCCCTATTGGGTGTAGAACAGCACCTTTATGGAGGCACTCTGTATTTTGACCCCTCCAACTTCATTCTAACCCCCAGAAGGTGTACTATGAGGGTGCGATGGGTGGCAAAATGACACTTTACACCTCCACGACTTACAGTGTGGCGGTATTGCGGAATGTGCTGCTGCGTTTC